GGAATTCCTTACAGGTGGGAGTTTCATGAGGGGATTACTTTCACTTACAAAGGTAGAAGGAAAACTCTTAGATTGGTAGCAGAAGCTGGTGGTTCTTGGAGGAAATATTGGAAAGATCTAGGAGGAGAGAATGTTTTGGAAATAGAAGAAGGGGGCCCAGAATAGTAAAAAACCAGAAAAGAAGGAATCATTAAGATTTAGAGTGACGAAAGCAACCTGATTTTGGTAATTTTGAACATTTTTAATAAAGTGTATGGATCTTAAATGCATATCTTGGAATGTGAATGGTTTGAATAGTAAGTCTAAAAGTAGAGCACAGTCTAAAGAGAAAGAAATGGGATATTATATGTCTTCAAGAAACACATATAAATAGGAAACCTAATAGAATTCTAAGCAATAAAAGACTAGGATTTGAATTTATATCTTCAAATTTGGGGGGGAGGGGAATTGTAATATATGTAAACCCTGTATTAGAATCAAGGCAGTTATTTAAGGATGAGGAAGACAGAATCATTGGAATTGAGATAAAATACGGAAAAGAAAAATTTAACATAATAGGCATATATGCCCCAAACGGTAAAAAAAATCAGAATTTTGTAAAAATTTGGAAGAAAAAATATGGAAATACTGCACAGAAAATATTATACTTCTAGATGACTTTAATGGTGTTACATCTGTGGAAATGGATAGAACAGAAAGAGAAAATAATACAAAAGATGAGAAACTACCTCTTACATTTTTTCAAATGGTGAAGAACCTAGATCTTTATGATGTATGGAGGGTTAAAAACCCCAATGCAAAAGATATTACAGATTTTTCAGATTCCAAAAAATCCAGAGGAAGAATAGATAATATCTGGGTGTCAAAGGGTCTAATTTTACTTACCAAAAAAGCTGAAATTAAAACCAAAACAATTTTGGATCATAATCCAGTAACATTAGAATTGGCATATAACAGGAGAACAGGGGGAAGATGGCGAATGATTGACAACATACAGTATAACAAAGCAATATTTTAACAAGCTATAGAAACATTAGCAGAATTTGTTCAAATAAACACTAAACAAAAAGCGGAGATTAGCCAATTTGGGATGCCAATAAGGCTTATATGAGAGTGTTCTGTATACAACAATCAGCAATTATGAGGGGGGAAGGAACAAAATATGAATAAAATAATAAATGAAATAAGGTCAGATGAAGGAGAATCAAAAACCCTAAAAATGAAAAAAATAAAGAAAAGATTAAGATACTACAAACACAGGTTACAAATTTATTAAATAAAGAGGAAGAAAACAAAATTAAATGGCTCAAACAATAAACATTTGAATCAGCTAATAAACCATGCAAATTATTAGCCTGGCAACTTTAAAAAAAGACAAAAAGAGAGAGTAATAAGCAGCATATTGGATAAAGGAGAAGTTTTAAATAGCCCATAAAAAATCAAGGAATGCTTTGTTAATGATTATAAAGAACTATGCAAAGCGGAAGAGGAGGAGGAAAATAAAATAAAAGAATTCCTTGACAAAAATAGTTTAACATCATTAACAGAAGAAGAAAATCACTTATATGGACCAATAACCATGACTGAAATAAAAGAGGCAATAGCAAATTCAAAAGCTGGAAAATCCCCAGGGCCAGATGGAACATCCATAATGTATTATAAGAAAATGGAAGATATATTAGCGCCAATTCTTGAAAGTATGATGAATAAGATTCTAGAAGAAGGAAAGATCCCCAGATCATGGCAGGAAGCATTGTTAACACTAATACCAAAACAAGGCTCTAGTTTGTTGGAAACTAGAAATTACAGACCAATTTCATTACTGAATTTGGATTATAAAATATTAACCAAAATATTGGCAAATAGAATAAAAAAAATTCTAGGAAGAATAATTAATGAAGATCAATCAGGCTTTTTACCAGGAAAGCAAATTAAAGACAATACTAGGTTGGTAACAGATATAATCAAATATTTGGAAATGAAACCAGATAAAAAGGCAGCCCTGATGCTGGTCTATGGCGAAAAAGCTTTTGATAATGTAACATGGAAATTTATGCAAGAAACATTAGAAAAAATGGGATTAGGAGAGAAAATATGCAAAGGAATGCAAGCAATCTATACAGCACAAAGAGCTAGATTGATCATTAATGAACTGTCAGAATTTTTTGATATTTCAAAAGAGACCATTCAGGGCTGCTCATTATCCTTTTTATTATAGTATTAGAAACATTTTTTAAAGCAACAAGGGAGGACCAGATAATAGAAGGTATTCTAAAAACACTGGAGAAAATGAAAGAACTTGGCCACTTATCAGGCTTCAAAATTAATAAAGATAAGACAAAACTTATGGTAAAAAAATTAAATTTACAAGAAAAAGAGGAGTTGGAAAAAGAGACAGGATTAAAAATTAGTAACAAGGCTAGATACTTAGGAATCTGGATTACCATGAAAAATATCAACCTTTACAAAGACAACTACATAAAAACCTGGAAGGAAATTTTAAAAAGAGCTAGAAATCTGGAATAGATTAAAATTGTCATTATGGGGGAGAATATCGACAATAAAAATGGTAGTCCTCCCAAAGATGTTATTTCTTTTTCAAACCATCCCTGTCATTAATGGAACAAATTGCTTCAAGGAATGGCATAGGTTTCTGGCAAGGTATATCTGGCAAAGCAAGAAACCTAGAATAAAATTCAAATTATTGAATTTTAATTTGAAGCCTGTCATTTTCAGTTTCTCCTGGTCTTAAAATATGTTTGCCATACTTTTGCATCACTTTGCAATTTTAAAAAAAGAAGTTCTCATGAAAATTCATCATCATTTTAGTAACATTCCATCTAATATACAACAGTTTCTATTCGGTTTTAGCTAATACATGCATCTTAACAAGCAATTTCGCCTATTCTTATGCCCTTTGTATGTCCCATACCTGACTTTGCACCAAATCTGACTCCCTGCCCCTATCATTAGCAGGATGACATGAACCAGGATGCTGGGTTAGACGAACCCATGGTTCAGTCCAAAAGAGCTCTTTTTCTCCATGCAGTGTTTTCTTTCAAGCAATGGTTTATTGCAATTACACTGCATGGTGGTATTTGTAACGTGTGTTTTCCTCATTCATGAAAATAAAGGAAGAGATGTGTTAAAGAGCTTATACAGGAGAAATGCCATGTGGCCCTCCAAAGGTGAAGAAGTTGAGGCAGTGGTGGTGTAATGGTTAGAGTGTCAGACTAGCACCTGGGAGAGATCAGAGTTCAAATCCCCACTCAGATATGGAACTCGCTCACTCTCAGCCTAATCCAGCTCACAGAGTTGTTGTGGGGATTGAGGAGGGAGAGAACTATGTGGGCCACCTTGAGCTCTTTGGAGAAAAAGGTGGGAGATAAATGAAACAGACAAATAGACCTCTCTCACCCAACTTGGCTTAAGGCACTTCACAGAAAGGGCAACACAACTGTCAGAAATCCAGACAGGATGAACAACTATTGAAGAAGTTTTTACAGAAGAGGGACAGAAAATGAATTTTGTTGGTTTCACCTTTTAAAAAAATGAAAACCTTTCTAATCCAATCATCTTGGACCAATATAGGAAGAGAAATGCAGCCATCCTTCACATCCCACACTTCTCTGATTTTTGCAAAGCAGTTTTCCACCCCACCCCATCCCCCAAAAAACCTTCATTAAAGTGTGTGTACTAATGGAAACAGCATGGGCAGGCACATTGCACATGGGGAAATGGCTTGCAATAATTTGTGTTTTAGGAGAAACACACCTAAAAGTGCATACTAATTTTTCATGAGGGCTTTATTCAAACTGATGCAGAAATGGGGCAAATAAAATTTAAGACTGGGAAGATTAAAACCCGGGCAGGCAAATCCATCCTTGCAACCCACAGATTCCCTGGGATTGAACAGAGACTAATTAAAGGCACCACTGACAGCTTGCAGCACTTCTACCCCTCTCTGTGGGATGAAACATGCAATGCCGCCTGCCTTCCTCTGCCACCCTTTGAAAGCTGCAGCAAGGGACCTGGCAGCTGAAATAGCCACCAGATGGAAATTGAGTTATTCTTATTCCCTTTGCAAAAAACAAAATTAAATGTCTGCTGCATCAAGGTATTTTCTTATTTTTTCCCTCCCTGGGTTCACTCTCCCAAAGGACAAGAGCTTGTCATTTTCTGGTGTGCATCATTTACAAGCTGCTCCAGAAGGTAAGGAGATCTGCTGTATGACACAATGTCCAAATCCCATCACACAGTACTCCCCCCCCCCCAGCACAAAGCAATCATCATGACAACAGTAAAGAAACCAGTTTTCACTTCTGTTAGCATGTTTATGGGGGGGGGGAGGTGGAGACTTAAATTGTTATTATTATTAATGCACATTTTCAATATAAAACTTCACAGCATGTTGAGACTCCAAAGCCATGCAACAGCCGTCAACATTTGTTATGTGTCCCTGATTTCCTTAAATGGGGAGAATCCAGAGACATCCTATGGAGCTGAGTTTACCTTTGGAGAGAATGACCTCACTTTGCAATACTTGTGTATTGTATACTTGATTTATAAATGTTCAAGCAGAACTCACTGAAAAGAGCCAAACTCCCTCCAAAACAGGCAGCTGCTCTATCCAGCCAGGAGACAGTCCTTTCATGAAAAGTCCCTGACCACTCAGTTCCCCAACGACAGGCCTACTCACAACATTCCAGCCAAACTCATCATCATCATCATCATCATATATATAAATAAATAAATAAATAAATAAAGGGCCTTCTGGCGGTTCCCTCATTGCAAGAAGCAAAGCTACAGGGAACCAGGCAGAGGCCCTTCTCGGTAGTGGCGCCCGCCCTGTGGAACGCCCTCCCATCAGATGTCAAAGCGATAAATAACTACCTGACATTTAGAAGACATCTTAAGGCAGCCCTGTTCAGGGAGGTTTTTAATCTGTGATATTTTACTGTATTTTTGGTTTCTATGAAAGCCGCCCAGAGTGGCTGGGGAAACCCAGCCGGATGGGCGGGGTACAAATAATAAATTATTATTATTATTATTATTATTATTATTATTATTATTATTTATACCCCACCCATCTGGCTGGGTTTCCCAAGCCAGACTGGGCAGCTTCCAACAAAATATTAAAATACAATAGACCTTCAGATATTAAAAGCTTCCCTAAACAGGGCTGCTTTCAGATGTCTCCTAAAAGTCTGGTAGTTGTTTTTTCCTTTGACATCTGGTGGGAGGGTGTTCCACAGGGCAGGTGCCACTACCAAAAAGGCCCTCTGCCTGGTTCCCTGTAACTTGGCTTCTCACAGTGAGGGAACCACCTGAAGGCCCTCAGCGCTGGACCTCAGTGTCCAGGCAGAACGATGGGGGTGGAGACGCTCCTTCAGGTATACTGGACTGAGGCCATTTAGGGCTTTAAAGGTCAGCACCAACACTTTGTGCTTGGAAACGTACTGGGAGTCAATGTAGGTCTTTCAAGACTGGTGTTATGTGGTCTCAGCGGCTGCTCCCAGTCACCAGCCTAGCTGCCGCATTCTGGATTAGTTGTAGTTTCCGGGTCACCTTCTGTGATGGCCTGGGATTCGGACTCGGATGCTGAACCTGAGGGATCCCATCCTGCACAGGATTCCCCACTTCCAGAACCAGCTGAGCCGGGGCTGGGGCATGAGCCTGAAGGGTCCTCACCTGTGCTGGATCCTCAGGTGCAGACATCAGCTGTGTCTGCTCTGGCTACTGAAGTCACTTAAAAACAAAAATCTAATTATTTGGAAATCTGGAAGCAAAATAAAGACCATTTGCACAATTTAGAATGATTGCACATATTTGCCTAATTTAGAAAGATTGCAAAATGTGGATCTCCTTGGTGCAGAATTCAGATTAGGGTCAACCTCATGCAAACCATCCATTCTCATTTATAAAACTATAAGGATGGTTCAATGAGTAATCATCTCTCTTATTATACACACTTATACAGACACGGCTATTTCCATCATTTTTGCCACACTCTCAAGTGATTGAAAAACAAGAGAACTGCCCAGAACTGAGGACAGCTTCAAGTCCCAAATCCCTATGCCCAGAAAAGAGAGCTGGTGCTGGTACTGTGGTTAGACTGCTGGACTAGGACCTGGAAGACCTGAGTTCAAATCCCCCCACTTGGCCATGAAACTCACTGGGTGGTCTTGAGCCAGTCACTGCCTCTCAGCCTGACCTACCTCACAGGGTTGTTGTGGAGATTAACTGAGGGAGAACCATGTATGCCAGCTTGAGCTCCTTGGTGGGAAAGGTGGCATATAAATGCTATGAAATAAAAGAAAGAAATCCACCTTTCCTTGAACATTTGCAGGTCGCTCTGGGGGTGGGGAGAGAGAGATTGCATAGATTTGTCCTAGTCCACTTCCCCACAGTGACTTTAAGGAAGCTTACAAAGGATGTACGCAATAAATTCATCACTATTTTAAATCAAGTCTGAAATATATGCATTTTTATATTGTTGAAACCTACCTTGGGACCTTACATTGAAGGGTAGATAAGAAATCTAAATAAATGAATTAATCAGTAATAATAAAGGATCCCCCCAAATCACAAAGCCATGATGATGAAATGGTAACATTGCAGAGCACATTTCTTGATTCCCAATGTCATAGATATTAGAGGAAAACAGACAGATATGGTGATCCCTATCCCTACCTTACCACGCTTAATGCATCCTTTCACTTAGTTAAATGAACTTTGTACATCCTTGCATTTCCTTAAGGCATGTAAAATTTTTCCTTAAGGCATGTAAAAAATGTAGAGAAAGGTTGACAATACAGATTCTGTTCACCCTTATATTAAACATGACATACCAAATCTTTCACCTAGAAATTCACTGCAACTTTTCATTCCATACTTTCAACTCAGTGATTTGTAATCAGTTATCTGACATCATGGTTAGTCATTGCTTTATCCCTATCTCTGGAAGAGTAAAGGAGGACCTTAAGGGGATTAAGAGGAAGGAAGCTGCTCAAGATGACACTGTTAATACCACTTTCTCACACAGCAAGGTCTCAGGTGTCAATGCAACAAGAGGAAGGCACACTGCGAATATGCTTGGAACTTCAGTGAAGCTGATGGTTGGAAGAATCAGAACAGATTATGATGATGATTGTGATGATGATGATATTTATATTTATATGCCTCCCATCTGACTGGGTTTCCCCAGCCACTCTGGGTGGCTTCCAACAGGATATTAAAAACAGGATAAAACATCAAACATTAAAAACTTCCCTAAACAGGGCTGTCTTCAGATGTCTTCTAAAACTCAGATAGTTGTTTATTTCCTTTGACATCTGATGGGAGGACATTCCACGGGGTGGGCACCACTACCGAGAAGGCCCTCTGCCTGGTTCCCTGTAAACTCACTTCTAGCAGTGAGGGAACTGCCAGAAGGCCCTCAGCACTGGCCCTCAGTGTTCGGGCAGAACAATGGGGGTAGAGACGCTCCTTCAGGTATACTGGGATGAGGCCGTTTAGGGCTTTAAAGGTCAGCACCAACACTTTGAATTGTGCTTGAAAACGTACTGGGAGCCATTGAAGGTCTTTCAGGACCGGTGTTATATGGTCTCAGCAGCCATTCCCAGTCACCAGTACTTCTTCATGCAGTGCATAATTAAACTATAATTAAACAGGAGGAAGTGATGGCCACCAGCTGGATGGCCTTAAAAGAGGATTGGACAAAATATTATTATGTAAATGTATTGATCACTTTTTAAACAAGGCAGCTCAAGGCAATGTACAATATGTAAAGAAACACACAATACATTAGAACCAGCATAAAAGAAAAACAAAGAAAAATCTAACAGACAATCAAATTTTTAAAAGGCAGCTTTAAAACATTTCACACAGCCAAAATGACCAGAGTTTATTAAGAGTCAAAGGCCTGGCAAAAAAAGAGAAATGTTTTTGCCTGGCACCTAAAGAAATGTACTGATGGTGCCATGTGAGCCTCCCTGGGGAGAGCATTCTACAAGTGAGGAGCCATTGCAGAGAAGGCCTCTTCTTGTGTTGCCACCCTCGGGACCTCCAGTGATGATCTCAGGGCCCAAGTCAGTCCATGTGGGGAGAGGCAGTCCTTGAGGTATTGAGGTCCTGAGCTGAGAAGGCTTTCTGAATTGTGAAAGAGAAAGAAGTGGCATGGGCTCAATAATTTACAAAAATAAAAAATGAACAGACTATACTCCATGAAGTATAACCCTAAGGTGACAACGCAGCATTTTGGGGTTTACCCTGCCTTCCCCACCATTTTGTATCCAGACTGATTGAGAGCTCCAGAGAATCCGAAGTCTTCCTCATTATCTTGTGGCAATTGGGTTGCTCCTATGTAAGCTGTTGTGCAAATGTGGATTGAAACCTGTGGGCCTTCGCTGGTGAAATTTTAGAAAATGGAAGGAAATTTGGGGAAATGGAAGGGATGGAATGAAGTGGAGGTCACTGTTATTCTATTAATTTGGGAGCAGGCTTGGGGAGGGCGGGTGATAATAACCCCTGAGCTTTATAATTCATGAATACACTTTGGCTTGATGCTTAGCCAGATTTTTTTACTCCATGTCCGACTCTGTGGTCTATTTACTGATTCTGAGAAGTCCCTCCCTGTACTCCATTGCCATGTCTTCCTCACTTTAGCAATTTGTATCTTTAAGCAGGAGGCATCCCTCTTAAGGTTAATCATGTCTCTCCCCCTTCACCCCTTTTATGTTTACTGTGGAGATTAATAAGGAACTGCAGTGTAAGGAGAATCTGAAACAACTCCTTCTTTATTGTTTAATTTAGGGAAATGCCATGGACGATTGAGTTTTAGCCTCTCCTTTGCTACAGTTGCTAGAACAATTTGTGTTGGGGATTAGTTGAGCTTCACAGCTTCTACCGCAAGCCCTATGCTGACCCTTTTGTGGAATGCGCTGAATCAACATAACTTTTTTAAAACATGCCTTTTAATAATAAATAATAATATTATTATTATTATTATTATCATTATTAATAATAATAATAATAATAATAATAATTTATTATTTTTACCCCACCCATCTGGCTGGTTTTTAAAAACACACACACCACCACCACAACCAGATCATTCTTCCACATTGCCAGCACCTCTGAGCAAGTCTCACGTGGAAGTAGCTAAACAGAAAACATCCCATTGAAACAAATGGGGCTACATTTTCTTACTTTTCTTTTGGCAATGGGATTTGCAGGAACAGAGCAGCCCTGATCCTGACCAGGACCACAACAAAGTGTTGCATCCTCCTATATGCTCAGTTTACAAACTGGATCAGGAACTCTGCATCTGTAATTTGTGAAGGGATGAAAAAAAGAAACCTGCACAGAACTGGCCCTCAGCTGACTATTGGTACCGGATAGAGTATCCCATTCCTGTCACTGAATGGGCAAAGTGCCCAACATTATGATGGGCTGCTTTGTGTGGAGGGAATTGGAGCTTAGATTTGTCAAGGAACCCTTATCAGGGAAGGTGGATCTGCACCTTGAACTGGTCTGATTGAGTTCAGGATTTGACCAAATTTGGTACACAACTCTACTGCATACTGGTAGCTCTATCTATCTATCTATCTATCTATCTATCTATCTATCATCTATCTATCTCTATATTCACACTTTCAAAGACTACAGGCTAACTGGCAATTTATGGAACATAAATGGGTTCACATTATCCTGTGCCTCTCATTACACTAGTACATTGTAAAAAGTCACAATTTCTAAATGAAACCATGGCCTGCCCATTCTGGTTCTCACCATATATGTAAGCTTAACCAGGCATACTCTGTCCCAGATTCTAGATATACATTCTCTCATAGCTGGTGTTCTCATCCCATCCACCACCCACCTCCATGCTGAGGTTTTTAGAAATAATAGTTCCAGGAGCAGTTAAGAAGTGCTGCATTAATTCCCTGTCCTCTCTTAGTACAGCTTCTTTAACATATCTGAGTAGTGAAATTAGAAAATCTACGCGCAAATTATACTTTGCCTATCTGATTAAATCATAGTTTGTTACAGTTTTGTCTTTTTTGTTTTGTTTTTAAAAAACTTGTTCTTGCCTCCTATC